CCCACCGGGACGCGAACCGGCAACCTTCTTGCTGCGAGGCAACAGTGCTAACCAACTGCGCCACCCTGCAGCCCCTAATATAACTAGTACAATATAAATACTAATAAACACCCTGCTAAAGCCAACTTCATATAAGGACTAAGGCTACATTTCTTCAACAATGGAACAGTCATTGTTGACCGGGAACACAACATTGTGTAATACGAAATGAACACAACATGAGGGTTAATATACCCATCCTCCTCACAAGTGCCATTTTAATGAGATAATCAGTGTTATTTACCTCAGCTGTGGCTGATTGGTGTATTGCCCTCCATGCCATTGGCTTATGAAGATCAAAGTATATTTTAGTTATATTACCTAATACCTTATAAATTCACATTTGAAGGAAGTTTAACAGTCTCTACAAATTATCTGCACAATGTTTTCTAATTTTCCCGGTCTATAGATATTAAAAATTGAAATGAAAAATTCTTATTTCAATAAATAGCAGAAACTGAGTACATGTACCTGTGCATTCTGTGAACACTTCCATTTCCATTTCAGGACAGCTTTGGGCTGCAGACTCTCTGATGAGCTGGATGGACGAGTTCTGACCTTCTCCCAGGTTCCTGAGAAGGATTAATATTGACATTAATGTCCCAAAGTCTCAAAGCCTGAGCATCCTCAATGCAGCAGCATGTCTAGAAAACATATTAATGTATCTTTGTTCCATCATGTATTACCATGTTGAGAATTTGTTTTATTGAATGGCTCCACTTTCCCACAATAACGCTCCAAAAGATTTGCTTTCCAGTTCTGAATAAATGAGGAGCAAAAGACCTCAAAAATAATATGAGGTACATGCAATTGTGCTTCAATATAGAATCACTGAAAGTTGCAGCACAGACAACATGCTTTCTCACACTCGGCCCTCTGAGGAAGCACAGACAGTTCAGTGTTAAATGTCAAAGAAAATGTGCGTGAAATATAATTAGAACAGAAAATAAGTTAACACATTTTGTTAGAAGAAACCTAATCTACCAATGCTGATTTCACATGTTTTGTGCTTCTAAAGACAAAATCAGATTAATTAGGCAACAAACTAACTAGAAAGAAAGAAACAGAACTTACTCATAGTCAGAATCCGTCTCAGAGCTGTTGATGCTGAAGCTCACACTGTGGGCCATGGTTCTTGATGTTCACCCTTCACTGCGAATAAACATCCCCTACTGGGTTGCTCTTCATCGGCCACATAGGGGAGCAGAGGGCACTGGGTTATCTTTGCAAGTAAAGTGGCATCAAAGCTTACCAATATGTGTTTGCCTACAATGCAAAGCCACTGCTCAAAGAAATTCAAATAAAATGTTGCTTTGCTTGACATGAACTTCTCTCCTCGACCACATCCTCCTCTCGGCTTTTGTCACACCACAGCTGAAGCATTAACAGCTTCCTCACTGATGAACTGAGCCAAAAAAAGAATAAACAAATACATATGAATGACAATTCAGAGAAGGCCAATAGCAATCTGCTCTATACTAACTCCTAAAACACATCATACTCGTTCCTTCTCATTTTAAAAACAGCTGTGCCTTATTTGCAATTAGTGCAAAGCTGCCGACCTTCATCCGATGAAGTGCCATGTTGGCATCTCTGACCTGCTTTGTGTCAGGACAAATTAAACAAATAGCTATATATAACCCATCCATCCATTATCTATTCTCCACTTACTCCTCACCAGGGCTGGAGCCGACTCAGGGCGAAGGCAGGGCTATATAAAATCATTTTTCAAGAAATATAAATAGGTCTAATTTGTAATATTGTTCAGCAAAGTGTTGTTGGGGGTGTCAGTATTGCGTCTGAGTTGAAACAAACTTGTGTGCAGTTAAAATCGTAGTCTTCACTGTACTCCAGTGGTCATAAGGAAGAACTGCAAGAGTAAACAGTCAAGTCATTATTATCTCTACACTTAAAGCAATAAGTGTATTTAATTGGAAAAATCAGATTGCTTTTAGGACCTAACTTAACCAGTTTAAATATTGAGGTTAACATCGTACAGTGTTATTGATAGTGTGGATTTACCCAAGAAAATTAAATAAAGCACAACTTTACTTGACTATAATAAGTATTAGGGTGACGACCCTGCAGTAAAATGAGTTACGGAGATGAACTTGACTAATGGAGAATTTAGGTTGAGACTGTATGAAAACCCAACAAATCTACAACAAAAGGATTCCTCATAAGCAGGCTTCTTCTTTATTTTTATGCATATTTTTTGTTTTGAAGCTGGTAAAACCATAATAATAATGACTTTATTTATATGGCACTATTAACAACATAGCTTTGACTGACAAAGCAAAAACAGGATATACAGAATGCCAAACAAAACTACAGCACATAGCAAAACTACAAAACGTAAAGTATCAATACAAGTAAATACAAATAAAACAAAGAAAAGTAAAATGAAGCGTTTCACTGAAATGAAACAAAACACTTACACACAACCCAGGTCGAATCGATCAACATTTCAAGTCACATCACTTTCAACACGTCTTAACTGCACTGTCACATTCACTGATAGGCATGCAGAAGCAACGCTAATTTGAATTTTGTGAAATGATTTAGGGAAGAATTTATCCACTTTCCAGCACCAATGCTCATTCAAAGACATTGCAGAGTGCTTTAAACACAGTTTGTGTGCTAAAATGGCAATTTGCACGACAATTTCAATGTGCTAGGCAACAAAATGAAATGCTTAGATTAATGGCAATTGCAAATAATGAATGCAATCCAAATTTGTTCTCTTTTTTCCCCAAAACAAGACGTTAACAGGAGCTAAAGTTTGTTGCTCACAGCTGTTTAGGAGTTTATTTCTGTTAAATATCAGCATCAGACAACAGCTGAATCTATATGAGCATCTCCAAAGAGAGAGAGAGAGATGCACAGTTAGAGTAACAGTCGTAACCACATTAAGTAGTTACGATTATAAAATCTTACTGCAGTTCACATCTCAGACAGGTGACTCTCACACAGTCACAGTTTATCAGCTGCAGGTGAATATTTCGTTGCATCGTGGCCTTCTTCAGTTGGGTCCTGAGCTTTCAGTTTTGCTGTTTGAGAAATCAGAAATAAACTGAGCTGTTCATTATTTAGATACTTTGACAAGCTGCTTTTACTTCAGATTTTGTCTTCCATTGCATTATTAAGCATACACATCCCTTGGAGTATTGTCTAAGCTCATGTGAATGACAAATGCTGTGTGCATACTGCAGCTTACCGTCTTCAACAAGGAGGAGGTTTTGTGATCAGTCTCACCAGCACTTTTATCATAAAATTTCTATCAAAAAAGCTCAACACCTCTTTTATGAAAATGTTTTACTCTTTATTTATTTATTTAAATGAGTAAATCTATTGTCATTTTCTCCTTTATCTGCTGGTTCGGGTCACTCGCCCTGAAAATCAAGAAGAGGACGGAGGCACTTGTCAAAGTGTGCAATAAAATCGCTGGGACTGACTTTGAAAATTTCTCTGTACCAGACAGACTCTAAGCCATACAAAGGCCCAGTCAGTTGTGTCTGACAGCATTCATCCCCGTACAGTGGGTACAAGTTACTCCCATCTGGTCGCACATACAGTCTGTCTAGGTCAGGGGTGTCCAATCCTGGTCCTCGAGAGCCCCTATCCAGCATGTTTCAGATGTTTCCTTCTTCCAACACACCTGATTCACATGATCAGGATTGTTATCAGGCTTCTGCAGAGCTTGATGATGAGATGATGATGAGTTTAGAGTGCAGTGTAATCATGTAGAATAGCTCTGTTTGTTTTGTTTTGTGGAAAATAAAGATTACCATTAGCTCTATGGGTACTGTGGTGGTGTGTACCTGCATAAAGCTGTCTGGAACATTACATGGGTGACCTCTGTCTGAATTTAAATAATACCGCCACTTAAACGGATTGATGAAGTCCGCAGTGTTTCGTATCCCATGTCAAAAAAAATGGCGTTAGTTTGACTATCTTTTTAAGCTGCCAACACCTCAACTTATTGTGAAAAAATATGAAGTTTCGCACCGTGTAAACCACCCCCTGTTTTAAACCACCTCTGGGACTGTTTTGTTTGCCGTTTCCGATGAGACCGTGAACGCATCGTCTGAGGGGCGGTTATTGAAAAGTTTTCAGGAAGCGAAACTTCTCCAACTGTGTCAGGAAGAGTTTTCCGCTCGTCTTTAAACTGTCTGACAGGCGCCTTTTGAGGGAAAATGCAGAGCAGTGCCTACGGGGCCCCTTTGGCCGGCGGATCCTTTGACATAGGGAACTTTGTAAAACAGCCTCAGACTATTTTGCGCTGCCTGAGCTGGGTGAGTGACTCCACGGAAACGTTAGCATCAGTTAGCCAACTGTCACATCACCGAGTTTATGTTAACAGATGTGCGCTGCCAGGGTCCACACAAACCATTAACTAAGACGGCTTTTTAGCTTCATGTGCTGCCAACAAGGAACGCGAATTGGGCGTTTGGTTAAAACGTTTAATTAACCTTAAATGAAGTGTAAATCAATCTAAACAGCACTAGTTGATGTTAGCTTGTGGTTGCTAGCACGTCCATTGCTGTGTCACCGCACCAACTGTCACCTATTTATGTGCAGTTTTTCTAGTTTTAATTTAATATCTGAACGTTCTTGTGGTTTACAAACGTTACGAACGACAATTAAAAACAGATAAACACGCACAGAACTTCTTTCGCTGAAGTGTTTATATTGTCAGTAGCTATCAGGAATTGAATCGTTGCCAGCGCCATCTGTTGAGCCGTCCACAAAACTGGTTGTAAATGCGCAGATGAAATTAGTAGGAAGGAAGCTTAATCGTGTAATAATTTGCATCTTCAAAAACACGTACACAGTGCTTTACAATCAATCTAATCCCAAATGATGCAGGCAAGGTGCGAATTTGAAAGCAGTTTTCTAAAGTTGCGAGGTTTACAAAGTGTTTAATGTCTGCTTGGTTTCTCTCTTCAGGTGAGTAAATTGTAATTTAGTCAACCTTGACAGCAAAGACTAAGGATAGCAGTATGTGAGGAGTAACATGAGGAACTAAAAGCTAGAAATGAAATCAGCAAGTTTTTGAAATCGGATCAAAAAGCAGTGTGTACAAAGACACCAGCTTCTGTGAGATGAGGATGTAGTTCTGCTGCTGCTGCATTTAAACTATGACATGTCAACAATGGTACATCACAAGTTGTGGGAGACCATGATCACTATGTAGAATGTTTAAATTAAGAATGGTACAAAAAATACAATTGACAGTGTAAAAAAAAAAAAGCAAATCTTCATATTTTGAGAAGCTGGAATAAATGACCAGATTTGGTAAACAGTGACAGCTGTTTGATGACCAAAGGGTATTTCCTCTCAGATATGCAACTATTGGTTTCATTTCTGCTCTTGTGTGAAAAGGGGATCAGGGATGTTGCTCTTTTCTATGCATCGAAACTTTCCCAGCATTGTCTGCTCAGCTCTATGTGTCTGGACTTGCTTGACAGACATGTTATCATGCATTTGGAGTACTTTTTTTATTTATAGGGAAAGCTTTCTTTTAAATCATATGACAGGAATCATCCAGCCGCATAGTTGCCTGACTTAACCCATGAAGTATCTACCATGTCCCCTGGCATTAACCCCCATATGTCCTTTCCTTGCAGCTATTTTCCATTGTGGTGTTTGCAACCATCACATCAGAAGGCTACGTGAACCCAGCAACAAAAGCAGACACCAAGTGCATGTTCAACGATAATGACAGCGCATGCAGCTACGCGGTGGGAATTGGAGTCCTGGCCTTCCTGGCTTGTGTTATTTTCCTTATACTGGATGCCTACTTTCCTCAGATCAGCAATGCCAAAGAGAGAAAAGTCATTGTTATAGGGGATTTGGTCTTTTCTGGTGAGAGTCAGTTTTCATTGTAGAAACCTCCTTTATGTTACTGCTGCTATAATATTTCATCTTAACCCTGAATATTGATTCTTTACTCTCAACATGTGACAGCGGTTTGGACGTTCCTGTGGTTTATCTGCTTCTGTGTTCTGGCCAACCAGTGGTCCAAGACCACCACCTCCACTGCTGTCAGTGGTGATGCCGCCCGGGCTGTTGTGGCTTTCTCCTTCTTCTCGATCATTTCCTGGGTGAGCCTCTCATCATGTCCATGTGTTGCCAGAATTTGGAAAAACAACTAAATCACATGTTAACACACACCTCAATTTACATTTTGTTGTGTAAAAAAAAATATACTTACTCGTTCAAGCTTCTCTCAACAGGCTCTTTTGACCTACTTTGCATATGGAAAGTATCGCCAAGGAGTGAGTGACTTTGAGCCGGAGTACAGAGACCCAGCCAACGACCACAACACGCCATACCCTGCCGGCCCGTACGCCAGCAGCGGCCCCACAGGCTACCAGCAGTCACCCTTCTCCCACAGCCAGGAGCAGCCAGGAGAGTACCAGCCTCCTGCTTACTGAAGGACTGAAATTCCAACTCATCAAACCAGCAAGGGGAGTTAATAAAGACGTGTGCCAATGGTTTCGTTTTCAACTCGGACTGTTCTCTGCACTCCCATTTACTTCCTGCAGAACACGTTTGCATATTTTTGGGTGCACTGCTATGTTTTTGGTTTGCTGCATCACTTTAAGTTGTTTGTTGGATGTTCGCTGTGCTGTTGTTCCACACAGCAGGTGTGAAAATATTACTGTTTTCAGAAGGTGGAAGTCTTGGTAAAGAGTGGATAACCATGCCATTGTTGTCTTTATACCAAAACCCCTCGAGATGTTCCAGTGCCCTGTTTTTGTTTCAATTTTGAGTGCAGTCAGAGAGCTCTCAATTTCCAAGCAATAATCGACAAACAGGTTAGAATTAGAGTTTCTTGGGGAAATCTGCTTTGTGTTTAAAATGTGGTGTTTAAAAGTTACTGTTTAATACGTAGCAGGATTTGTTCATTGTTCTTAAATTCATTCACAGCAGGTCAGCTAATTTATCAGAATAATTCAGCACATACTGTTTGACCACACAACAAACCAATTTTATTCAATGAGTTGGTGCATTAAAAATATTCCCTCTATAACTACTGTAATGCCATTTTTAAAAAAATTCTTTTTAAATTAACCACTGAAAAAAAAATGGCTTTGTGCACTGAAAAATACAGATCATTTTTTGTTTTAAATCCACTAGTTTTTACAGGTGTTCTGTTTTGAGGTAGTCAAACTATTCTATGTGCCTTTTTTTGACTACAGCCACACTTATATCAATTTCAGCAAAGGTTTTAGCCATATTTGTAGGAATTCTGTGACAAAAGTTGATATATTTATTATCTTCCTTGATCCTGTTAAATCCAGGTACATGACAATCAAACCATCATCTATTTCTGTCACTTTTTCCTGTTGCTTTTTCTGCTTCTTGCACTGCAGTTGTACATTTGTACGCCTTTTTTTTTTTTTGTCAATGGCTTTACAATCATTAAAGTGCCTTATACAGTTTCCTGTATCAGACAAGGTTTGCCAAATAAACATTTCTGGTTTTAAAGCTGGAAGTCAGCCCGTAATTTATATCCTTCTTTCAAGAAAAAGCCGGACTCTGCTGTTCACATGCGTTCTCCTTTGGCAAATATTTGAGTAGTGATGCTTGTGTGAGTGAATGTGGAAGAACCTGTGAACTGTGGTGATGATCACATCTGTTTCATATCCATCCATTATCTGAAAAGTACTTTTCATATTAATTACAAAAAAAAAAAATTGGGAATCATTTATAGCATTGGCAGATGCAGTTTGGTGGAACATACACAGAGCTCCACAAAATGCTGCAAACAGCAATTCATGGTACCACTGATACATGTAATCTCCCCACATCACTGCCCTCCTCTGTGCTTCACTGTCAGGGTTATGAATTCACTGAGAAGCTTCCAGAGGCATTTCATTTCTACCGTGGAGTCTGTATTTTCCATAAGAAGAGTTCATTTGCAAAAACTCCATTTTTGTAGATTTTCAGAAACATTTGTTGTTGTTTGCTTGAGATAATATCAGTCATACTGAGTGGATTTGACTCAGCAGAAAAATAAAGATAACTTGTCTCAGGTGGACGATGGAAAAGTGGGTTTTCTGAAAGTTTGTGAAGATGGACTTCCCTGTTTTTGCAAATGAACTCTGCATGTAGTCTTTATAAAGTATTTGTTTTTCATTGCTCATGAGAGCAAATGCTCTACAATGATAAGCAATGTATTACCATCTTTCTAAAAGGCTACCAGTTGTCTTTAAGCTAAGCTAATACATGTATGCTATATGAGCTTGCTGTAGCAATTGCTAGTTAGCTTGGATTCTTAGCTACTTCAGGCTAAACATTCCTAATGAGTTGACATTATTATTCATTAGTAAATTAAACTGTTAAAAAAATAAAATCTCAAATGTTGTATCTAATATTTAAGTGGCAAAATTTGAGAAAACAGGTAATTTTAGAAGTTTAGAAGTTTGTTAGACTTGTGAGGTTAGGTTAGCCCTGCCGGGTGTCTTCCTCCATTGTGGGGGAAGTTGCTCCTTTCTAAGATTTCCTAACTAGTTTTCGTAATAACAAACCTGTGGTCTATTATGATGTAATTACACTCTTAATTTGTTTGCTCAACATACTTTAACTGTACATATTATACTAGTATCCATCTTTACTGTGCAACTTGTGCACTTCAGATGCAGATAGCTTAATTTTAAAATGTTGTTTTTTTCCCGCCAAACAATTCTCAAAGTCGGATCAAACAAGGATAACTGTGGATAACTTGTTGTTTTTTGTTTGTTTTCAGAAACTGAAGCATTAAATACAAAAGACAGGCGGATTTAAGTGTCATATTGTACTCACTCCGCTCCCAGTTGTCCCGTTTCCCACCGAGCCTGAAGGCAGCGTTTGGCAATCCTTCTCTCATCCACTGCGCGATGCTGTCGTCATCAGCACACATAGGAAGTAATGATCGGCTGTGTGGACAACGCAAAAGGAGCTAAAGGAGCCGAAGAAGGAAGCGACACAGTAATAATGACATCTGAGCCCCTACCACCAGCGGACTGAGAGCAGAACAGGCCACATCTGCGGTGAGTACGAAGCGAAGTGGATCAGAAACATTTCAGGGCGCTTCTGAGCGCAGCCATTTGTGATGGCATCCGTGTTAACCTCTGCGCTCCTGGCTGGGCAGGAGCTAAACGCACACATGCAGAGGGAGTGTTTGTGAGGGCACAGAGACCTCCAATCGCTACATTCTTCAACAAAATATCAATACGAGCAGACAGTTAACAAATGAGCTGTAAACTTTGCTGCCGGAGCTCAGAGGTGTCATGGTTTAGCACTTAAGGGCCTGCAGATAACAAAGTGGGAATGTCCCAGGTCAACCTGGAGCTACTGAGATGGCCCCAGTGATCTGCAGCTTCCTACATCATCACAACTCTGGATCAGATGACTATACAGAGTTTTTCACTGGAAGAAAGCACATAAACTGAGCCCACAGTGCAGTGCACATCTGTTCAGAGGGTCCTTGACATGCAGGAGATTTTGAATCTCCCTTAAAGCACTTAGTGAAGTATTTATGGGCCTCACACACTCTCTCTGCGTCCTTGATGTGTTTCCTTTGAAGGCCACCTCCCCCAGATGTTATCCTTTATGGAGCCACAGTCGCTCAGCAAAGGGAACAACAACTTTATCTTTGTTTAGGACTGATCAAGCACTTTATACAGAATTACACAGCTATTGTCAGGACGGATGTGTAAGTGACGCCTTTTCGAACTTGGGCATCTCATTGAGCAACACCACTGTGCCAACCCATAAAGCTCAGGAGCTGCTTGTTTGCGAAGAACTTAGATGTTGAATCTTTTTAAAATATGAAATGAGCATGTTTTCCCGCATTTTATCCACCAAACAGTTATCTGATCAAGAAAACCAGCGCAAATCTATCAGTAATGATTACCTATACCATCAAAGTGAACACACAGAGACAAGATATGTCTGAAATTTTAGCCTCATATGTCTGTTTTGAGATATTTTTTTTTTAAATTGCCCACTTCATCACATTTTTTTGATCAGGTATTTCATATTTGAAAGGATTCTGCATGTTTTGTTTTGTATTATGTGGTTCAGAAAGTATCACTGTTCGACTTCTGAATTCTCAATGTTTTTTGGTGATGTCTGCTCAAACATGGGGCTTCAGTGTTTTAATATTTCAGCTCACTTCTGAACTGTGATTATTTCATCTTTGTTCTATTATTTTATATTATTAACAGTGAAAATTTCAGGCTTCTATCTTAATAACAACAAGAATTCCTCAGATATTGTGATTCAAACACAGCCTTGAATTTCAGTGGGTGGAAAGAATGTGCAGAAAGTGGGTTTCACGCAAATCAGAGATGCTCAAGCAGAAATCCCCTGATGATTTAAGATGGAATAATTCTACTGGAAGAAATGCTGATAAAGTTGAGAACATTTAAGTGATAAAAAAATAGCCAGACCTGACTTTGTGTTTTTGACCAATCCAGGGAATGTAACACATAACAAATCAAAAATGTGAAAAAGACAAAACGAGCTCCACCAAAAAACATGGTGTAGTTTGCAGTCTAATGAAACGTTTAAGAACCAGTTTGACAAAGTCTGAAGTTGCTTACTGATTCACTTCTCGTGCTCCTAACGTTTTCAACTAAAGCCTAGAAGGAGTTGTCAGTTAACCAACACTCCCACAAGTCAGGTAGCATAGAGTTCTTGTACTTTTCCGGTTCACTGTAACTGCTCTCTATCAGGCTGATCTCTGGCCTCAGTCTGCACACAGCGCTGATTGCATCACAGCAACGCCTTTGTTATGTACCTTTCACGGTGACCAAAGGTTTTATATCTATCCAGCTTGTTCGGATTGTGGCTTTTCACCTTTTATTGCTTGTAGAGTAATTGGACAGGTAATAAATGTTTTCCAGAGGGCTGGTATCTGGTTATTTAAAGATTACTTTGGCAAAGTATACCTGAATGAACTACAGAGTTTGCCCCTTTGGACTGGATAATAATCCTCCAAGTGTAGGTAAAGTTCACAAGCTTTGTTACAAATCCTTGTCATGGTTGCACTGCAAACACAGTAATCAGTGGGCAGAAAGAGAGTTTGGAGCTACGAACTGATTGTGGAGGCCTAGTGAGGTGAATCTAATGGCGCAGGGTCAGCAATTTACCAGGAAGAGACGAAGAGGTAAGTAGAAGCGATTTGGGAAAAATCTAAATGGGTTTCATTATAATAAAAAAAAAGTTTAAATGTGCTTATGGTTAATTATTCGGCCACTTGTTGGTGTATATATATCAGAGAGGAGTGTCTGGAAGCCATAACATTGCTGCCATAATGGATTTCTGTTTGGCTCGGAGCCTTCTTATGAAAGAGTCTTTCAGCTCCTGCTCTCCTTTTAGAAAAATGCGCCCATGTTTAGGTGGTGGAGTGTGAAGCTCCTGAAGCCAGACTTGTTGGAATTTGGTTGAGAGGAGACTGCACACAAGCTTTACGCTACAGAGTCCGGTGGTGGCCCTTTCACAACAGACAGCTCCTCTGCAGTGTTTGGCTTTTGATGTTATTGTTGATTCAGCTGAAGGGTCACATTCGTTTATTGGGTGTTTAAGTGAATATCAGTAAGTTAACTGGTATTCGCTTAAATCTTGTTTTTCCAAGTCTGTAATATGATGTTTCGGTCCTTTCTATCTACAACTTAACTCAGTAGTGAACAACAATGACAGTAAAACAAACTGAGGTTGGAGTTAATTATTATTAAAAAATGATTAGTTTCCATATTAATTCTGGTAATTGTGTTTTGTATTAAATATGAAAAAACACAGAAAAGCGTCTCAAAGTACCATCTTCATGTGACTTGCTTTGTAAGGCAAGGCAGACACACTTTTTTTTTTTTTTTAGACGATCTATGGGTGAAACTGCAGATTAATACAATCAATAGATGCAAACCCCACTTCAGCTGTTAAACTTTGAACAATATCCAATCCAGTTATCAAAGGCGTAAAACAGAGAAAAGCAGCAAATAACTGTATTAGAGAAACTGGATTGTTTTGCTAAAGAAGGAATTTTTTTTTAATTATTGGGATTTGATTTTTTTGTTGATGCTCTGATCAGATCAGTATCAATGCTGAACACATCGTGGTTGTGCCTGTGACAGTGGTAAGGGCCACAGACAATGGCTGCTCGTATATTTCCTGATTTACCTGTTCATAGCTGCCATCCCTTTATTATCCTAGAATGAGCTCCTCCCTGCCTCCACGTTGACAAGCAAGTGGCAGCCACTTGGTATTCACCCAGCCTAAAGTCAGGCTTCTTCTTTATTCACAACCTGTAATGTCCAACCTGCACACTAACTTACTCCTAGTCAAATTAAAATCTAGCTTTAATGCTACCTGCCATCAGGACTAAAATTTTCCCGTACTGAGAAGAGAGTCTGCTAATGGGGACAGTATGTAAGTAGGAGTTTTCTCATTTAAATAATATTGGTGTTGGCATGTTGTAGATGAGTCCATAGTAATGTTTGAAAGAAACCTGTTTGCTGTTAAATTTTCTTTGCCTTACGGTCAAACATAGTTTTTCATTGTAACTGTGTAGACTCATTTTCTATAAGATAGGCCCAGGTTTCTCCCTCATGCTTTGGCTCAGTTCTCATTGAAGAGCACAGGATTTAGGATCACTTCAACCAAGCCCTTTGGTTTATTGTATGTTCTCAAAAGGCAAAACTGGTGGAACAATCTTCCTAATATGCAGGCAAAACAGCTTTATGTCTGCAGCTCTACTTACTGTAACTTCCATCCATCCATTACCTATAGACCGCTTAATCCTCACTAGGGTCGCGAGGGGGCTGGAGTCTATCCCAGCCGACTTAGGGTGAAGGCAGGGGACACCCTGGACAGGTCGCCAGTCTATCGCAGGGCCGCACTTAGACATAGACAACCAAACAAACTCACATTCTTCCTGTAACTTGTTCCTGAAAAAAACAAACATCTTTTATAATTTGAATAGTGACACCAGATAACAAAACTGAACTATTTGCAGATCCATGTTGGGGCTTTAAACTACGTCATTATAATATCTCTTTCTATCTGTCTCTGCTTTTCTGTAGGTGACTCCAGGCCTCCGTCCTCCATGCCTGCCGCCCCAGGCTCCTCTCGACTAGAGCAGAATGAGCCTATGAACCCACTTCGCATCTCTGTAGGAGGCCTCCCCATGTTGGCTTCCATGGCCAACACCACTGACCCTCGTTTCCGCCTTAAGTGGAGGCCCATTGTGGCAGTGGGAATCACCCTGACCTTTATCCTGCTGCTTGCCATGCACTTGAGCTCAGGCCTGCGCTACCACACTTACGGCTCACACAGCTGGAAAGCTAGCCGAAGTGACGCCCAACAGTCGGACTACCACTACAACGACACCTATCCTCTCAGTCCACCTGAGCGCACAGCACAGGGCACACGCTACCGCATTGGGGTCATTGCCGACCTGGACACAAACTCTCAGAGCGACAAGAAGCTGACGTGGTTCAGCTACATGCGGCGAGGATACCTGCTGGTGTCGCAGAGTGGTGACAAGGTGGCCGTTGAATGGGACAAAGACACGGTGGTGCTGGAAAGCCACCTGTCAGAGAAAGGCAGGGGCATGGAGCTGTCTGAGCTGGTGGTGTTCAACGGCAAGGTTTACAGCGTCGACGACAGAACGGGTATTGTCTACCATATCGACGGAGACAAGGCGGTACCCTGGGTTATCTTACCGGATGGTGAAGGAAATGTTGCCAAAGGTTAGTGTTACCATGGTAGCAGTGCCAGACTGAAACTATAGGTGATATTTTGTTCTCCATTTTGCATTCAGGACTTTCACATTGTTGTATTGGCATATTTACTTAAGTCCTGATGTGTTTCCTCCTGATAGGATTTAAAGCTGAGTGGCTGGCAGTGAAGGACGAGCAGTTATACGTCGGTGGTCTGGGGAAAGAGTGGACCACTACTGAAGGCGAGTTCGTCAACAATAACCCAGAGTGGGTAAAAGTAGTGGGCTTCAGAGGGGACGTACAACACAAGAACTGGGTTCCCAAGTACAAAGCTCTCAAGTCTGCTGCAGGAATAGAGCCTCCAGGTAAAAAGGCCCGATCTGGTTTCTCTTAAGACTGCCTCCATTTCACTCTCGATGCTTTTTTTGTCTTCACCGTCTTTCTCTGAACCTCTGCAGGTTATTTAATCCATGAGTCAGCAGCATGGAGCGACACCCTGCAGCGCTGGTTCTTTCTCCCTCGCCGTGCCAGTAAGGAGCGCTATGAGGAGACAGCAGACGAGCGTCGTGCTACCAACCTTGTCCTCAGCTGTTCGCCAGATTTCAAGGACATCATAGTTAGTCGGGTGGGTACTCTTAACCCCACGCACGGTTTCTCGTCCTTCAAGTTTGTCCCCAACACAGATGACCAAATCATTCTGGCACTCAAGTCAGAGGAAGACGCCGGTAAGATTGCCACATACATCATGGCTTTCACGCTCGATGGACGCATCCTTTTACCTGAAACCAAGATTGGAGACGTGAAATACGAGGGCTTGGAGTTCATCTAGAGGGCTCAGACACAGAGAGATCCGCTCTGGAGGCCACTGCACTGTGGTTCTAGTTTGTTTACAGTTCAGTCACTGTTGAACTCGCTGCTTCCTCTGTGATTTTTGAAAAACACAACTCCAACCTTTGAAGCAGCACCGTTATTACAGTTAAAAGAACTAGAGGGTGAGACTGTAAAATACAGTCCTGTTTTGTCCTGTTTTAAGAAAGTGCAAGTCATATTAAATATTGCCAGCATGTGTTGCAGTGGATCATCTCCTTCCCAGGCCAAATGTGGGCTTCAACAGTACTGTAGCCTTTCTTACAATGAATGTACAAAAGATTGATTTATCAGACTGTGATTTCTTCTTGTAAAAAAAATGCATACTGTACACTGTACACTCTGAGAAGATTAAAGGTTTTTATCTCTTTGCTTCATGTTGAGCTGAAATAATTCGTGGCCTGTTTTTAGAACGCGACATTATTTGAATGATGTTTTGATGATAAATGAATTATACTGTATGTAAAGTATTTGTG